ATGGTTTAGAATGAGTACATGATAAAGATGGGACCATACTAATAATGATCTCTTGATAACATCTTTGGTGAATATTGTGATACAGACAAGTTCCATTCCTTGTCTTGTATGTAATGATCATGAATGGATGGTGGCAGCATTTCGTCTTCTACTATCTACTCTTCTACTATCTACTCTTCTACTTCTACCTATCTACACCTCTCCCTCCACCCCTCTCTAAACTCTCACTTTCAACTAATGACCCTCCTCGCTCCCCCCCCCCCCTCCCTACCTCTCACCCCAAACCCTCACTAATTACTTCACTATTCATTTCTTTCCTTTCGTTTTCTCTTGTACGCTTGTGGCAATGATTCTGTATTCTAGAGTTCTCTCTAGAGTTTCGGGTAGCTGATCCAGTTACGGCGCCTTGTAGTCTTAGCACCTAGGTAGTCAAATACCTAGGTTACAAGGTGTTGAACGAGAGAGGTTGCCTTAGGAACTCTGGGAGTGCTCTAGAATAGTTAGCTAACTGGGGACGGGATAACGGACTAGAGAGAGCTGTTTCCCCCGGCCTCGTTAGTTAACTGGGGGGTGGAATAATGGACAAGATAGAGCTATTTCCCCCACCCCCCGTTACAATGGTGGCAGCGGTGGGATATCTGTTAGAGTTTCTGTTATATCTGTTAGTTAGATTAATTTATTTTATTAAGCGACATCATCTCTTGAAATTGTAATGTTGTACACCATTTTTTCTGAGCTTCTCCTTCAACATTTTCCATCACACTGGGTTGAATACTGCCATCTTTAGTTCATTTTCCTGAGACTCTTCTATCCGTGATACGCCATCCATGATACTTCCATCCTTACTTTCATTCCCCACTACACCCCGTCTGTTTGCCATAGCTAATTTTTCTAGAGCTTCAATCCTCTTGTCCAACTTTTTGAGGTATTCCAAGATCTGTGTACCGACCGCAGAATTCACAAAGCTAACACCGTTTAAATATTTAAAATATCTTTGCCCCGAAACAAAATATTATCTGCATACATGGTTCGAGTTATCCAATAGGGGTATCTCTCGGATGCTATCCTATTCATTAACATTCATTAAGGACCTACCCGAAACGCTGCGCCTACTAGTGGCTTTACAAGAATGTAATTACTATGCTATGTATTCTCACAATCCCAATGTACCTTCTTGTATATATATAAATAAATAAATAAATAAATAAATAAATAAATAAATAAATAAATAAATAAATAAATAAATAAATAAATAAATAACATGTTAAACAGGGTGTGGCGTAACACTCTTCCTTCGGGCATGCCGAGTTCAAGAGATTTTACCGTTGACGTACAATCTTGATAACACACTTGGGCCTTTGTTTCATGAAGATAATCACCTATATAGTAGTGTATAGTAACAGTACACTATAGAAATAAAACAGAATGCAACAGTTACTGAAAGACCCAATTTATGTTTAAGTATATTAAAACCCAAATTTTAAGATGTAACATATCTTTTCTCTAGGTACTGTATAGGTACAAAATCTCGAGAAAGATTTTGGAATATTTAACAAGTTAGACAAGAAAACTGAAACGCTAAAAAAGTTAGCTATGGCAAGGAAACGCCGTGAAGTGGGAAGTAAAACTGAGGAGGTAGAGGGTAATGGAGAGGAAGGAATAATACAGATGAAGGAGTCTAAGGAAAATTATCTGGTGTTGGCAGCGTTCAATACACTGTAGTAAAACTGTTGATAGAAATGAAAGATAAAACGGTTTAGAAAAATTAAAGTTGAAGACATTGTTAAGTATAACATTACCTTTGATGTTAGTAGCTTTACAAGTGTTGATAATAGTGAGGTTTTCAAATGTTGGGAGGTTGTTTCTAATTGGATCTTGCTTCTCAGTGAATTTGCAGGAGAGTAAAGATAAGAGTTTGAAAACTCCTCATGGAAGAAAATAGTGAGGATACTGTCTTGCAACATTAACGGGTTGAAAAGTAGAGTGGATGTATACAATTACGTTCTTTAGAGAGAATACTGACAAAATAGCACTCCAGGAAAATAGGAATAGGGGTGCAAGGTAGCATTCCGAAGCTAAATGGCTAAAAATGAATTTACTCACAAGCTGGTGAAGGAATTAGGGGTGTCGTTTTATGTTAAAAATACCATACCTCTTCAGGTAACCGAGACACCATGAGATATAGGGGAAGAGTAAATATAAAGATCAGCTTAGCAGTTTAAATAATTCAGTGTAATCCTGTGAATATATTTAAAAATAGGATTGAACATTACTTTTCGGTTCTAACCAATATAAGCTTTCCATAAACAAATAACCTAGTGTGGATCTAATGAACTGTTTGAAGTTATTTGTGATCCTCTGAATTTGTTTTCATTAGATAACTGTGGTATTACAGGAAATGCTCTATGTTTACTATTTGCGTTTTCGGAACGTAGACAAGAGACATCTCTCATAATGTTCACATGGACAGAAATTAAAGCTCAGGTTCAAAACCTGCTCAATTGAACTACAATATACTAGAGTGAGAGATATGATAGAAAGTGTCAAATAAATACAATAAACAGTCGGGGTGCATATAGGCACGATTAGAGAACACAGTGTAAACACCCAATAGAAGAACTATTGAAAATGGAAATCATCAACAGGTATAATTATTTCATTCATTTTTCACACATGATAGATCATGACAGGTTTAATTTCTAGATTTTCAAAATGATTGCAAATAACCTTTAAATTTTCACTGGAATTTTAATAAATCAAAACTGAACATTTCTGCATAGGGAATTTAATACAATATCAACAACACTGTATTATAATGGGGCTAAATTTGTGTTTTATGTTACCTTGCACATATAGTGTCTTTAAAGAAACATTATTCACGAGAAAATAGTCATTAACTCAGAATTTCATGTCAGGTACAACAAAACGTTTAATTATACAATAGCAAAAAGATATCCTCAGAAAACGAGAATTTCCAAAGTATATAATTTTAATAGCTTAAAATATATTCCCCTTGATGACATGCTGTGGTGTCAGGAGAGTACGGAATATACATTTCATGGAGAGATGTACAGTTCCAAAGTCGGTAAACTACAATATTAAGAGCGTATTGGAATGGTTTGGGCATGATGAACGACTGGATACAGGTAAATTGGCGAAGCGGGTTGATTCGGGCGAATTTGAGGGTAAGAGGAAGGAAGGAAAGCCGGGAAGATACGCAGATATAGTGTGAGACGAAGGGGATCGAGTACGAACAAAGTCCGGAATACAATATTGAACATGGCTGGGTGGAAGTGAATTGTTTGGAGGGAGTAAATGAATTTAGTTTTCAAGGGTCCTGGCAGTACAGTCGGATTCGTTCTCGATTTACAACCAGGAATTCTGGGATCAAATCACAGGCGGGACAGAAATGGTTGGGCGCGTTTCATATCAACTAATGTCCCTGTTGACCTAGCAGTCAATAGGTACCCCAGGAGTTAATAAGCTTGTTGTGGGGTTGCATACTGGAAGGAAGTTCGACCTTCGAGGGAGGGGGAGGAGTGAGAACCTCGGTATAAGTCTAACATGTAAGTTAGGTTATACGCTGGCTGACCGTTTCTCAACACAGTCAATTATAAATATGTTTATTAAGGAGGAGCACGGTTCCTGGTTCATATGAAGCAGTAGATGACTGCTGGAGTATGAAGGTGTTTATTTAGCCATGATTCTATGTAGTGTGAATGATATAACAAATGAACATGTGATATTTTTGTTCAAAGCTCTCACTACATTAATTACCTTTTCTCTTAGGGGTGATGTCTCTCCGCCTATAATTATAGGTGTAAATGGACTATTAATAATGAATTAATAAAATATAAGAGAGCCATCAAATATATGGAATATTACAAGAAAAGCCTGAAGCATGCTTATTACATAAGAGTTATACACACAATATTAATCAACTGAAAATTTCGGTATTAATGATTACCGAATCATTGTATTGACGTCAGTTTCTGTGCCAGGATAAGTCCACTATAGGCTTACCATAGCCTGTGCTACTTGCCACATTTTGTTCCCAGTAGCTGATTCTAAAACAACAACAGCAAGAACATTGTACTGAGTAACAAACAAATGTTGTATCGAGTAACAACAAATGTGAATTATTACCAGCAGGGAGCATTTGAATACATCACTTTGATCAAAATAATAAAATAGCTACAAGAACTCGAAACGTATTGCGAGTTGTGTGTAAAACAGACATTATTGTGTAATGTCTGTCGCATATATGGTTAAGAGCAGGAGGTTTCTGGTGGGGTAAATGTGGGGCTGGGAGAGGAGAAAGTACAGTGTCGGATGGAGATGTGAAAGTGGCGATAACCGGCTGGTCGAGCGAGAAGAGTCAAGGTGAGGGCTGAACAGTGAGAAAAAAATTCGAGGACCAGATTCGTAGCAAATTTCAGAGTTTAGAGTGAGCAAACCACTAAAGTCAAAATATTATGTTTAACGTTTTACTCTTGTTAAACCATTTTTTTATTCTAGTATACTAACTCGCTGGTATCTCTGTTTCAATATCAAATCAGCATTTTAATGATTTACATTTTACCATTCTCTAATTCCTTCTTTCACCGACTTACCCCTAGCCTCTTTCTTTACCTTGTTAATCCTTATACGGTGTATTCTTGAGTGTGTATGTTTCTAAGCCGTGAAGCAAATCATCACTGTTATTTCTGTCTCGTAACTGACACCTTTTAATTTCTAGCGTAACACACCATTATGTATAAATTTTAATAAATATAATTCGTTTCGTCGGGGATTGGCGGCCTGTGTACATATATACGTTAGATACGTTAGGATATCTTGAGATGATTTCGGGGCTTGGCGTCCCCGAGACCCAGTCCTCGACCAGGCCTCCTTTTTGTTACACACCCCCAGGAAGCAGCCCGTAGCAGCTGTCTACCAGGTACCTATTTACTACTAGGTGAACAGGAGCATCAGGGTGAAATAAACTCTACCCATTTGTTTTCGCCTCCACCGGGGATCGAACCCTGAACCTCAGGACTACGAACCCGAAGCGCTGTCCACTTAGTTGTCAGGCTCCTGGTCGAACTATTAACACTTCCCAGGATACAACTCCACAACAGCTAACTCCTGGGAACCTATTTACTGCTAGGTGAATCCCGCGCGAAATTCGAACCCGAGATCCCAGATTGTGAATCGAGAACGAACTCAACTATACTACCGAGACCCGTTAAAGAAATACTGAAATTTTACATAATTGCCCTTGGGAAAGGAGACTGTTAGGCCTACCGATCAAGGTTCCCCTAATCAGGGGCATAGGCAAAGAATATATGAAGACAACAGGATTTCAAAAAGAATGATTCCCTGACGAGTACTGGTAGAGATATGTCTAAGACGTTTTAAAATGAGAAATAAATATAATGAGAGGTGATTGTCTAAGATGATAGCGCAAGAGTTTAGTTTAGTTCATTTATTATGCACCCCATACCCATCTTGTGGGTGGTAGTGGAAAGGGTTACAGAGGCACATAATGGGCTCAGGGACTGAACCCCACAATTCATTTAGTTAAGCAAGTTACTATCTATAGTGCAAGAATGTCAAAATTCAGCAATACTGTGGAGGTATTGAGTGAAGTTATATAGGGTAAGCAAAACATTTAAATTCACTTTCTATGCAGAAAATATATCATATCTATCTAGTCCCCCAAACGCATCATGTATATTTTCAACAGGAAACATGTGTATTATCAAGGGAAAGGTTTAAGTTAATATATCTTAAATATTAGAACACTATCTCCGTTTTCTTTACACACTACAACTTAATCTTTCCATTTATAATTTTATTGTAAAGACTAGTTGTAAGAGGAACAAAAGCTTTACTACTAGAGTCCTTGAAGTACAGCTGATCACTGATGGTATTGGGATTATAACCTTCTTTCTGAAGAACTGTCTTCTTTACTCTGAAGGTATCTGAAATAATAACAACATAAGAATGAAGGTAACTGCAGAAGGCCTACTGTCCCAGACGAGGCAGCTCCTATTTATATCCACCCAATCTCATTCATATATATATATATATATATGTCGTACCTAGTAGCCAGAATGCACTTCTCAGCCTACTATGCAAGGCCCGATTTGCCTAATAAGCCAAGTTTTCCTGAATTAATACATTTTCTCTAATTTTTTTCTTATGAAATGATAAAGCTACCAATTTCATTATGTATGAGGTCAATTTTTTTTATTAGAGTTAAAATTAACGTAGATATATGACCGAACCTAACCAACCCTACCTAACCTATCTTTATAGGTTAGGTTAGGTAGCCGAAAAAGTTAGGTTAGGTAGGTTAGGTAGTCGAAAAAACATTAATTCTTGACAACTTGGCTTATTAGGCAAATCGGGCTTTGCATAGTAGGCCGAGAAGTGCGTTCTGGCTACTAGGTACGACACACATATATATATATATATATATATATATATATATATATATATATATATATATATATATATATATATATATATATATATATATATATATATGTGTGTGTGTGTATAACCTACGCTTGAAACAATCATGGGATCCTAGCTACTTCTATTATGTTATGTGGTAACTGGTTCTACAAATCAACAACGCTGTTACCGAACCAGCATTTAACCAGATCTTCCCTAAATCTAAACTAATCCAATTTATACCCATTGCTTCGTGTTATGACATGTTCTCCCTTTTGTTATGACCATTTATCCACTTATACACCTCTATCATGTCACCCCTAATTCTTCACCTATCTAGAGAATGTAAATTAAGCTTCGTCACTCTTTCTTCATACGACAGGTTTCTAATTTGCGGGATTAACTTTATTACAGTTATAAGCCAATTCCTTTTGCTAATTATTTTCCCCCATCAGCACATCCCTTCATTGCCTCTTTTCCTCACATAAATTCCCATACCACTATCTACTAACAGTTTAAACCCAAACACACCCTCTCCAACCACAAATTTCAATGAGTTAGCAACAGCAACAACCTCAGCCCTAGATAAATGCACCCCATCGCAAGCATACATATCATTCCTTCTATAGAAGTGTTCCTAGGCATCATTGAATGATATTACATATATAATATTTGTCCAGTTGGCAATTGACACCAAGTGCCCTCGACAACCATTCATTTCCAACTCCCTTTCTTGGAAGAATGCTACATATGATCGGGATTCCTCCCTTGCTTCTAACTAATTCTATGGGTGGCTTAAACCACTGTATCAGTGCCTCACTCCTAATTCGTCCTACATCATTTCCACCGGCACTGATACAAATAATGGGATTGTTCCCATTCCCATTGTTAATATGGCTGGAAACATGTTGCTTACAATATCCACAATTCCTGCTCCCGGATAGCAAACCTTCAACCTGTTCCTTCCCCTATCTCTGGCATAAAAAGCTCACCTCAAATTCCCAAATACTTCACCTGGGAATCCCCCACAACCAAAATTCGCTTAGCCACTTCCTTTACCGGCGCTCCCTCCGTTGCTTTGCCTTTCGAGTGAACTGCAGTCTCCCTATAGCACTCGTCTTCCAGCGCAGCGAATGAGTTGGAGGTCTTTAGGCCAGCTGTAGGCGGCCTTGTCAGAGTCTTCTTAAGTTTCCTGTCCTTTGCGACACTCCAAGATGAAGACTTTCTAATGCTGCTCTCCTCTTTTGCTTCCTCGTAAGTCGTAACGCACTCGCTCCGCTCTAAATCTTGACGTCTGGCCACCTGCTCCGCCTGGGGGTTTCGGATCACGTGGCGCGATTTTATCCTTTGGGTCTCAATGTTGCCGTCAGGCATTCCTATTCAACGGTCCGGATTTACGATCGCACTTATCGCCAGGGGTCAGAGTGAAGTTGATAGATTTTATGCATTTTCTAACTAGTTCTTTGGGTGGGAGACCGTGCCCGGCGCCGGCTTGGCCGAGAGGTGCCGGGAGTTGGTGGGTCTTGGTGTGTGGCCTCAGGGTGTTGCGGGCGACTGGCTCTGGCTTTGCCGGAGGGTAAAGCCCGAGCCAGAAGCCGGTCACTGGAAGATTTTTGACGTTTTTGCTCACTTGGGAACGAGTTAGAAGGGGACCGTTTTTTGCCTTGACTACCCAGCGTTCTGTGTGTGGCGAAGCGAGAAAAATTCTCGCTTAAAGTTTCGAGAATTCCTATAAAGAGGAATAGCACCGGATACCAGCAAGTCCGGTGCTTGCCTCCCTGAGGGACTACTGGAACCCCCTAACATCTGCCTATCAGTGTGTTTTTCGCCGTATGTTGCGTTAGTTTCCGCCGACAGGCGACGTTAATATAGCCATCCGGCTTTGCGATTTACCCTTCAAGGGTACAGCGGGGCACATACAACAGCACCTCTGTTGTCGCGGCCCCCTAAATCAACAACAACATGAGATCTGGCGCACTATTGCTTCCCCTTGGGTTTGTACAGATATAGAATATACGTATTAAAATCAGTGACTTGCATTTGCTTAACCCTTGTGTGGATGGATATGTGGAACACTAAAACCTCTTCTTATACTGATCCATTTTGTTGTCTTTTTTTCGACCATCTCGTAATTTCTATTAAGATAATTTTGTTTTCTGTATTTGCTTCTCTGTCTTGGTATAAATATTTGGATGCCTTTCTCGTACCTCTCGCAAAAAATTCCATACATCTCGTTTATTCCCTTACCTAACCTAACATCGACCATTCCAGTCGCTCTCAATATAGTACACTAAGACTTATTGTACTTTCTTAATGCGAAGTTTCTGTTGTCTTACTTTCTTCATTATCTTATATGTTATCTGGAATTTGCTAATTTTATTTCTAAGATTACACAGTCACACTTACCTATTGGAGGTCGGTAATGTATATACAAAATCTCTTCTTCATTAAATATTAATATGATACGTTGAATTGTTGTTGAAAGGTTAATACAAAATCCTACACATGAGCCAAAACACTCACCAGTTTTCTCCAGCTGTTTAGCCAGCCTGATAAACAGAGGGCAGGCATAAGGTGCTAGTGACCTTTCAATGCAAATATACAGTTCCGCCAAGTCAAGTGTTCCCTCCGGGTCCGCGATGGCTGCCATGCCGCAGCGACCTTCATTTCCAGGGATCTGAAAGTAATTGATCCATAAGTGACATTTGGCTAATAAGGAGTCAAACTTTAACCTGCATTTTGATGTAGGTGTAACTAAAAATAATAAATTATTGGACCTCTTAATTCCTTTATATTCTAGTGGACAATTCCTGGCAATGCTTAATTTCCAATTCTCGGGGACAAAGTTTGTTTAGCTTGCGAGGTCTCCCTAGCTAAGGACGAGGCTGTCCGCGTGGACACCCACCAAGTTGCTGTCCAAACCCAATAGTGTTTAACCGACTGATAGAATACCGGCATATAATTTATTATGTAAATTATAGTGCTGTGTACTGGTATATACAGAGCAATAATAACTGCCATATCTATATATAATGGAACACTGATTTCCTACCCATATATAAAATAACAATGACTGCCCAACCTATAGAGGAATAATGACTACCTTACCTATATAACAGATATATCTACACATAGAGGAATATTAATTGTACTATACCTACATCAACAGGAAGAATGACTGTTGTATCTCTATATAGAGGTAAACATAATTGCTGATATATAGAGAAATACTGACTGCCTTACCTATATAATTATTGTATCTATACAGTACAGTATAGTAAAAATTTTAGGCTTATTTATATAAAAATGCACAATGAGTGCCATATTCTATGTATAGAGATATAATCACTGCCATATCTCTGAACAGAGGTATAATCACTATCTTATCTATAAATAGAGGAATAATGATAGTCTTTTATATAGATGAATAGTAAAAAATTATCAGAAGACGCTAAGTTAGTATGCCTATAGCACCACTCAGGTGAGGTAAAAGCAAGGTAATGTATCTTTTAATCCATTAACTCGATATAATACTTAAAATGCTGATGAGAGAGCAAAAAGACAAACTAATAAATCATTAAAGAGATCCGATTCACTAACGTCATCTGATTTAAGAGGATCGATAGGAAACACAAATTTACAGCTATCTTGAAAACCTAGGTATTCGACGTGGAAGTATTTAGGAGTGAATGGAACAAACCAGTTTGGGCAATAAGATGCAGGTTTCCACTCAAATGACCGTGAGTTCTTATACCTAGTATGGCTCTGAGCCCATTATGTGCCTCTGTAACCCTTTCCACTACCGCCCACAAGATGGGTATGGGGTGCATAATAATAAATGAACTAAACTAACTAGTATGGCTAATACACAAAAGCGACTAATGAAGTTTGGCATTTTTCGGTCAACCCAAGCCAGGTTAAAGTACTTACTGCAAGTGTGAGACGTCAACTTAACCATCAGCATCTTACAAGAGTAGTCACTGGAAGTCCTAATCAACATGCCATACCACTTCCGTATAGTATTGCCATTTATGAAAAACCGCACGTAGGCTATTTGAAGGAGACGAGGGAGGGTGTGTGGGTGCTAGGAGGAGCTGGAGAAGTTATTCGGGGGGGGGGGGGCGGGGATGGGAAGGGTGTGGGTAGATGGGGATGGATATGGTATGAAGACGTTTCCAGTGACAAAATAGTGTGTATTGAACATAGTTACAACATTGAGGGGAGACGGGGGTCTGTCTGCTTAATATAATCTACACAGCCCGTGACAAAAATGAGTGCCTAAATGGCCTCTTCAATATCCCGAACGGTATTTGATAGTGTAAACTCATAATCTTGGGGTCTGATGGCTTTGTGGAGAGCGTTCAGGGTTCGTAGTCCTAAGGGTCCGGATTTTATCCCAGGCGGAGGTGGAAACAAATGGGCAGTTTCTTTCACCCTGATTCCCCTGTTCACTTAGCAGTAAATAGGCACCTGGGAGTTAGACAGCTGCTACGGCCTGCTTCCTGGGGATGGGCGTGTGTGTGTGAAAATTAGAATTAAGGACTTGCCCGAAACGTTATGCGTGCTAATGGCTGTACAAGAATGTAAGAACTCTTGTATATATAAATAAATAAATAAAAACTAAATAAATAAAAACTTTGACGTCCATCATTATGGAATTCGAAGCCTTGCTCTGAACTATATTAGATCATATCTTAAAGACAGATGTAACAAACCGCAAGAATTATCCAGTATTGTTCTCTCAGACATGGGAGTTTGGGAAGATTGGAGTCACGTGGTAGTGACCTGACTCTGGAGCACAAGGCGCATCCCCCTGGGAATTAGCAGTCTGGGTCACAAAATGGCTGGCGCCCTTTGTCTCATAGCAACATATGATGAATCATTCTATAGTATTCAGTAATTTAGAGGTATAGATAGGTATAATTAGGTATAATTTAGGTATAATTTAGAGGATAGAATACACAGATACCAATATGTACCAATCAATATGTACAATCAATGTACCAATAAATCATATTGGTGCCCGTAGGAGTGCCACAGGGCAGCATTTATGAAACTCTCCTATTTCTTATATACATGAATGATTTGCCAGATGTCTCCAACATTCTTAAGCCTATTATTATTTGCTGCGATACTACCTTTAGCTATTCAGATCCCAACCAACACACACTAAATAATATTGTAAATAATGAATTTAAAAAGTTCACTCATGGATGTCAACCAACAAACTCACACTAAACATACAAAAGACCTTCTACATTTTACTTAGAAGTAAATCATCAAACCAAATTCACCTTAAGATAGACACTGTTAACATCAGCATTAAAAATGATGGAAAGTTCCCTGGCCTATACATAGACAAGACTCAACTTCAGCACCCTAATACAACACAGCCAAAAAAGTATCAAAAACTGTCGGTATATTCTCTAAAATCAGATATTATCTTCCCCACTCTGCTCTTATTTCAATGTACTACTCGCTAATTTATCTCTTTCTTACATACGGTATCTGTACGTGGGGTTCAACCACTGCAAATTACGCCAAGCCCATCATCACTCAGCAAAAATCTGCTATCAGACCTATAGGGAGCCGGTCGGCCGAGCGGACAGCACGCTGGACTTGTGATCCTGTGGTCCTGGGTTCGATCCCAGGCGCCGGCGAGAAACAATGGGCAGAGTTTCTTTCACCCTATGCCCCTGTTACCTAGCAGTAAAATAGGTACCTGGGTGTTAGTCAGCTGTCACGGGCTGCTTCCTGGGGGTGGAGGCCTGGTCGAGGACCGGGCCGCGGGGACACTAAAGCCCCGAAATCATCTCAAGATAACCTCTCAAGATATAACAAACTCAAGATATATACAAACTTGTATATATACTCAAGATATATATACAAGATATAACCTCAAAGCTATATGTCTTCAGATAACATATAGCTCCTATGTTTAAATCCCTAAACATGCTAAACACACACTCACGCCACATATTCTCTTGTGCTATTTACATAAATAGTTTTGTACAGGCTATGTACAAAACCCTGTTCCTAAGTGCTAATCCTGATCTGAAACTCTTCCTTGATAGATGTAATAGAACCCATGAGCACCACACCAGAAATAAATATATCTTTGATATCCCCAGAGTCAAACTAAATCTGTGTAAACACTCCATGCAAATACAATAACCCAGTCTATGAAACTCACTCCCTAGTGAAGTAAAAAAAATTGTCCAAACTATGCCTTATTCAATAGTAAAACCAAAAAGTACGTAATTTGCTTGAGTTTGTGCTTCTAACGCACACTGTATCTGGTGCTACCCACTCCCCCAATATTAGCACTAAAGACATACAACTTCACCAGTATAATCAATACTATCAATTACATTATAGTTATTATGTTGTACTCAAATTCTGCTATTGTTATCTCTCTCTATTCTGCTTCATCTCCTTCCCTCATCACTATCGACTTGAGAATGGTCGAAGACGGACCGAAACGTCGTCGTCCCTTCACCTTCGTCCTTAAGTCTGGTCAACATCTGCTATTGTTGTTTTAGATTCAGCTACCTAGAACAAAATGTTCCAAGGAGCACAGGCTAAGTGGAGGCTCTTTGGAGTCATTATCTGTATCAATAGCTGATACTAGAGATCTGGGAATGGATGGGGGGGGGGGAGTTCATGGTGGATTTCAGCCTCAGAGGGCTGGCTGTAACAGTTATGGAACTGGTGGGTTAGTGTAGCACTCTAGGTCTTCCGTTTTTTCTTCGGCTGAGACTTTGGCTGAGCCGTGCTATCGTTGGAGTTTGGTGAGGTGGCCTCCACGAGGAGGTCCTGTACCGAGTAGGTGTCGTATTTGTGCTGCGGCGGTGGAGCTCCTACTAAGATTTCCTCGTTTGAGGAGTCCGTAACATCCGTATTTGGTTGTTTTGTCTTTCGTCTCGCAGCCTGAGGTAGGATCAGGTGTCGTGGATTAGTTGTATAAGCTATTTCAGGAGCGTTGGTGGTGCTGTTCGTATTTCTAGACTTCATGTCTGCTATCGCGTCTGCTGAGATAGTGATGGTGGGAGTGTTGGGAGAGGAGAGGAAAATACCTCTGTGCCGCCTGGTTCTTGGGTGTTTCTGGAGTCTGTGTTGAGATCGACCTCGTGGTCGTCCTGGTGGTAGTCTGCAGAGTGGTAGTGGATGCAGTGAGACTTGCGTCCGGGGCGATGATTGGGTCCAGGCCGTTGGCTAGGAGCAGCTCGTTGAGTTTCTTGACGAATCGTTGATTGTCTGGTCCGGCAAGCCTCTCCGCTAGTCGAATAAGACCAGGATTATTGCCTGCACGTGATGCAAGGGACCGTGAGGGTGCTGGTTGGTCATTAGGTTCCCAGTGTGGAGGCCGGGTGATCTGTTGGGAGGAGCCACTGTTTGGTAGGACTGGTACGGTCGTAGTCTGCATCTGGCTTATAGAAGGGAGGCTCGGGAACTGGTCAGATCCAAGGTCTAAGATCGCGGCGACTTGCCTCTGGATGGTCAAGGGCGTGGTGGGGCTTCTCCTTAATCTTCTTCAGTTCCTCCTTCCTTTTTGTGCAGAGGTAGGAGCTGGTGGCGTGCTGTTCTCCACAGTTCGCGCATTTCTTGGAGTTGGCGGTACAGTCCCTGTAGTTGTAAGTACCGGAGCATGAGCTGCACTTAGCCGTTTATTCTGGACACTTGTTGGAGAAGTGCTCATAGCTGAAGCACTTGTAGCACTGACTCACGTTGTAGACCTTCTCCATGGCGAGGTGGTTTGGGGAGGAGGTGATTCCAAAGCACTAGAAACAGTTCTTCACTGCTTTCTGGGCCTGTTCTGCTGTTTCTGAGTTCATCTTCATCGTGGGTCGAGTGGCATCGTTAGTCTTGATGAGTAGAGCTGTCGTCGCTTTCAGAGTAGGGTTTTCTCCGTTCACTTGCCGCACTATGGTCTCGGGTGTCTCACCTGCTAACCAGGGGTTCAGCCTGTTTACAAGTATAGTTTTCCCGGCAGTGATTTGTTTGGGAGGAATTGGTGAGAGGTTCGCCTCCAGTAGTGGGACCCGGCGTTCCGGATCCAGGATCTTCTGTAGGTCCGATTTAGTTGAAATTGTTTATGTAATAATCTAAGATGAGGTCTGATAAAGACCTTTTGTGTCCTCTGTAATGCTTTTGCGCTACCGCTCACAGGATGAGTATGGGGTGCACAATAAACTAGCCGCCTTCGGCGGCAACAATCAATCAATCCGCTTTAGTTGCCACGATTACCGTGGCCTCGTTACCATGCATATGGACGTCAAATGGTCCCACTGATGTTGCCTTGTTAATGGCTGCTGCAACTTCGCGCTCAGAGCGCTTGTAGACTCCGAGGAGTCGCACTTTCACTTTGTATGTCATGTTTTCTGTATGGCACTGGCTCGGATTGTCAGAACCTGAAAAAAAATTCTACTACACTGTATCTTTTAATATACTTACTTTTATCTGTTAGATTAAGAACCTGCTTGAAACGCTATGCGTGTTAGTGGCTTTGCAAGAATGTAAGAACACCAATGTTATGCACTCTCACAACCAAATGTATTTTCTTGTATATGCATAAATAAATACATAAAATAAATAAATAATTTGCCGATATTCGCATTAAACAGACGATACTTTCACAGCTTCAAATGTTTCTCAAGCACGGCCCTCTATCAGAGTAAAGTAGTAACTATTTTTTTCTAGTATTTCATTCCAATAAGCTCCTCTCACTAGCGACCACCCACATATTAGACAGTTATAGTTTTTAATAAGAGACAGATACCGAGACAGACAAAGACAGAGACAAAAAGCAGAGACAGACAAACAGAGAAAGAGAGAGGCAGAGACAACGATACAGAGAGATACCGACATAGATAAAGACAGAGACAGACAGTAGATAGATAGGTGGATAAACGGATGGATAGATGGATAAGTGGATGGATAGATGGATAGGTGGATAAGTGGATGGATAGATGGATAGGTGGATAAGTGGATGGATAGATGGATAGGTGGATGGATAGAAGGATAGGTGGATGGATAGATATATAGGTGGATGGGTAGATGGATGGACAGATGAACAGATAGATGAATAGATAGATAGATAGATAGATAGATAGATAGATAGATAGATAGATAGATAGATAGATAGATAGATAGATAGATAGATAGATAAGTAGAAGCATGGATAGTGTATAGATAGACAGATGGATAGATATACATATAGAATGATGAGTAGGTAGATGGAAAGAAATAAACATTTCTCAGTGGACACAAATACAGTATAGTAAAATGTCACTCAACTCACCTCAACTCCATATACCGCAACATCAGTGTGACCCGCGAATTTCGAGACAACATCCTCAATTTCCAGAGCGGAAATATTTTCACCCTTCCAGCGAAAATTTTCTCCTAGTCTGTCAACAAAGTACAAATATCCCCGCATGTCCATCTTCAGGAGATCACCTAAAAGAAACACAATATTCTTAGACATCAGATAAGTTAGCATTTAATACATATCAACATTATGGTGAAGGAAGTAGAGTCGAAGTGCCAATTTCCAAATGCTAGTTCCTATCTTTGTCAACAAAACATTACAAAGGATTACAAAGTATTGACCAAACCACACACTAGAATTTGAAGAGACGACGACGTTTCGGTCCGTCCTGGACCATTGTCAAGTCGATTGTCGATTACAAAGTAATTCAAACAGCAAGAAACCATTAGATGCAAACTCGGCTGTCTGTTTATGGCAAACCTATGGTGCTACAAAGTAAGGCGGAGATTTAAAGAGAAGTACTTGTTAATTCTACATGTAAATGTATATGCAGTATTACATTGCATTACAGCATTTAATAATTCATATGTTTACAATTCGATTAAAGAAAACGTATTTTGCTTCTTTAAAGTTTTTTTTGGGTCAAGAATGTAATGGCCTTTAATGATTATAAAAACTTGCGTTAACCCCCCCCCCTTTTAATAGTATATTATTGTATCGATTACGAGTCCATTTCATATGGTCTCCATCTCATGTTGGCCTCCGAATGCATGATAGAGCTGATAAGTTAGCCAAAGAATCTGCCATTAAAGGAGCCGCTGAGTGTAACCTTGGATTGTCAATGAGCAATCTGAGAGCAGCAGTACACCGGGAACTTCAACAAGATCTTGTAGATCTGAAGCAAAGTGAAATTGACACCAGTAATTCCATTTATCATCATACTATCATGCAAGAGGAGCCACACATCTATGGTTCATCCAATAAAATCAGCAGATTTCTAGATGTTACTATTGCTCGGCTTAGACTCGGTTACAAGTATCTCTGGGAATTCTCATTATCTGCCGATGTAGACCTGACCAAATGTAAACTGTGTCAACAAAATTATTCGCACACCCTCCGTCACTCTGTGATGGAGTGCGAAAAGATACGTGAATTTAGAGACAATTCTATAACCAATGTTAATGTTCCAACGATGTGTAAATATTTCATTCAAAATGATCTGCTACCAGAAATTTTAGCCTAATATCCCCAGTTTGCTAACTGTAGGTAGTAACTGGGTGATTGTAACCTATCCACCGCTGCCCACTGGATGGGGAGGGGGGAGGTGCAGGATAAACATATCAATTGTGACACTAGCTCTCCACATATGTCAGTTGCTTAATTTAGAAACTGTACTTGTGGTCGATCTCGAACCCATTGTTGATGTGACGACTTATACTGAATTTTGTAACTAGCTCATCAAGTAACTTGCTTAGCTAAACGAATTGTGGGGTTCAGTCCCTGAGCCCATTATGTGCCTCTGTAACCCTTTCCACTACCGCCCACAAGATGGGCATGGGGTGCATAATAAATGAACTAAACTAAACTAACTAACTTACAGTCTTACTTATTTAGCTACCTAATTCTCTCTCTCTCTCTCCCCGGTCCCCTGTTAGGTTAGTTTAGTTGGTAAACTCAGAGTGGCGACAGCGCTATTTCTTATTTAGGTAAGTCATACGAAGGCTGTAGCAGCTAATATTTCTATCTCTATCTCTCTCTCTCTCTCTCTTTCTCTCACTCGCTCTCTCTCTCTCACTTGCTCTCGCTGTCTCTCACTTGCTCTTTCACACTCTCTCTTTTGAGAGAGAACTAGAGGTCAAGCTCCAGCATATGAGCTGGAGGTTGACTTTGTCAATAAATTCCGTTTGTCGTATACTTGTTAAGTAGTACAATTCTTATATTTACTTGCGTAAACATTATTGTCGACTTTTATAAACATTTGCAGGGTAACAAGCAACATTTGCTGTAAATGTCACTTGCATGCTGTCCCAGATGTAAATGAAGTCATGACGGCTTCTGACAGTAGTCATGTGACGGGTGTGTTGAAGGATAATGCTACTGTAATTTGTGAATATTAACGTATTGCAGTCAGAATATTTTACCAATAAAGAATGTTTCATGGTTGTTTCCTTGATTCATATGTCACTATGTTGATTTACAGTCTGACTCTAATAACCCATGTATATACTAAGAAAAGATATCTTCTTTTTCTTAACCGGAAACAACACTCATTACGTTACCGGATATTTGATAGATTATCTTTCTAGCAAATGTTAAACGTGTTTTACATTTCAAGCACTTTATACTCTGGTTACAAGCCTGATGCAGAGTACGTCGTGAATGTTTAAACATGGGTATATTATTCCATTCAAGACATCGCATGTATTACAAGGAAATGTTGCAAGATTATGGTGGATATAGTAGGCTAACTTTAGATTACACAGGTATATTATTTGTTTTTATTAAATAAACTATTTATATCAGATTTTCAGCGTGGTTTCTTAAAACAGTAAGTTAATGTGAATGAGCTCTTCACATTTTCATACTGAATTACGGCATGGTGCCCTTAATTAAAAAGTACTGTACTACGAAAGCGATTATGAATGATTCCCGGAACTAAATCTGACATTCCATTTCCATTTCTACACTTAGGTGTTCAGCCCCATTCACCCCCATCATAACTGACACAATTTGTGTCTGCCAGGTCATGTCAACTTATTTACTGATTGATGAAAATTAAGCCACCCAAGAGGTGGCACGGACATGAATAGCTAGTAAAACTGATTTACTGCATTTGTCACTCCTGTCACGTTCATCTACTATGCAGTTATATAATTTAAAAATACGTTAATGCAATTAAAAATTATGACGAGACATTCAGTATTTGAAATTATATTGTATTCAAAATCAATTATAAAGTACTGTATATTTAAAGTAATTTTACCTGAAAGGAAGGCAGAGTCCCCTACTTTGAAGACATTCCTGATGATACTTTTTTGTGTTGCCTCTTCATCTACATATCCTTCGAAACCTTGGATTGGATGATTCATTTTTATCCTTCCAATCAATACACCGCACTCACCTGAGCAACAGATAAATCACAACTCAGTTCTAATAACTAACTTGTTCATGAAATGATCACGTCTCTTAACAAAATATAGATACCGTTTCAAAAGAATTAAAAGACTGCTGGGAAATTACAACCTACCACTTACCTTGGTAGGCTGTAATTTACCAACTGCAACTAGGAATGTAAAACACACAAAAATGGCGGGTAGGCGGTTCCAAGGGTTTATAACCCAATGGATGAAAACCCATCTCCTGTTTTTATGTTCTGCATTGAGGCTTGTTGTGCTTAAAGGCATTGTCTTTGTTCGTGTTATATCTGACCTTTTGAAGAAGTGGTCTGGATTAATATCCTCCAAATTGTTCATAATTTTAAAAGTTTCGATGAGATCAACCCTGCCATGTCTGGTTTGCAGCGTTGTTACCCCTGAGGCCCTCAACCGTTCCTGGTATGGGAGTTGACTTAGTTCTGGAATAATTTTGACGTCTGGTGTTGAATTTTCTCCAAATCAGATATGTCTTTCTGAAGACGAGATCTCCTTGCTTGGAAACAATAATCCAGGTGATGCGCACTACAGATTTATTCTGTTGAACAACTACCTTCTTTTCTTTGAAATCAAAGTTACATCTGACTATTCCTAGGATTAGGATGCCTTTCTTTTTTACTGCAGTTCCCACTTGTGCAAATTTCAAAGATTGATGGATTCTGACTCCAAGATCCTTATCTTTATCAATCTGCTGAACTGTAATATTGTTGATCTGGTAGTTGTGATGTGCACTGTTATGCCCCTCATGTGAGGACTTGCATTTTTCGATATTGAAAAGCATTTGGCAGTCTTCCGAATACTTGTGGAGTTAATGTAGATATCTTTGTAAGGCCTCAATATCATTGTCACTTCCTACTTTACCATAAATATCAGTGTCATTTGCAAATTTGATGATGTGATTTGTAATATTCTCACCTATGTCATTGATGTATATGACAAATAGAGTTGGACCCAAAATAGAACCTTACGGTACCCCACTCACCACATTTCACCAGTCAGATTCATTTCCATTTAGGGCGACTCTTTGCTTTCTTTGTTTTAACCATTGTTTTATACATTCTAGTATTCTACCATTTATTCCGTGTGCTCGTACTTTCATTGCCAGTCTTTCATTTGATACCTTATCCAATACTTTAGTCAAGTCCATAAATACTTCATCTACTGGAAGCCCTTTGTCTGGATACCTGGTTACCGTTTCCAAAAATGTGAACAGGTTAGTAAGGCAGGATTTATTTTGAACAAAACTATGTTGAGTTGATTTTACTATATTGTGCACATTGAGATGTTGAATGATTCCCTCCTTTGGGATTCTCTCAGTGAGAATGCAGATATATATTATTTCATATTATAACAATAAATATACTAAAAATAAATAAAAACATATTTTTCAAATATTTCTTTTACAATATCTTTAATAATGAAAACAAATTTTCCTTAACAGTCTAACAAAGCAACCAGTTACAAAAACAAAATCGTAATATTTACACAAACTATATGCATCATACCAGGTTTACAGCGGATGCACAGTCCATTGGAAGTCCTGACAACTTCTTGTGTTTCGTCATCAATCTTGAGGAGAGCCATGTGAAACGTGGATTGCAAAAAGAGTGGAATAAAGCCAACAGATCCGGTCTTACCATTCGTGTTCACTGTTGAAAAAAATGTAAATGTTAACTTTCCATTTTATTATTATTTTCCATTATTTATTATTTTCTCTCTGCCTAGTCATTATAGAAGTCGCCGAAAACCTGTACACTGAGCTGAACATTTTCTTCTTGAAAGATGGTTCAAGAAGCTGGTTACCCAGACTCCCTCCTGGAAGACATAAGAATATTTCTGGAACAAAGAGCAAATCTAGGCCTCACCTTGAACTCTTCCAAGTTCAAGGTGAGTATATTGTCACAATTTATAAGACATGGGCGTGGATCACTAATTTCCTAAGTGCTTTAGAGGGAGGCGGGGAAAGTATAAAATCTCAGTTGGGCAGGGGTTTCCAGCCTTTGAGATCTTTCCTATTGGGTCTACCAATAGCTCAGTGGAAGAGCTTCCCCCTCACACAATGGGGTCGGCGGTTCGAGTCTCCTAGTGTCTTCTAGTCTATCCCGTCTCATAGATAAGGTGCAAAAACCACTCCCAAAGTATGAAGAAATCTCAGTGCACCTAACTATTTCTGCAAGAAGTATATATATTTAAAAAATGAACATTATTACAACTAACCTCAGTCTTGATCAATTCAGCACATAAATGATCAATATCTTTAATATTATAAAATATATGACTTACCTGTATTAACATTGCCTTCAGTGGAGCCGTAAAATTCGCAGATCTTGGGTATATGAAATCGCTTCATGAAATCCTTCCATATGCTTTGGCGTAGACCATTGCCAAACATTAAACGAATCTGAGTAATGAGTGTAGAGAAAACACAAATGAAAGATATTCAAGTAAATCTAAAGATATGGCTTATAATAAATAACATTTGATTTTCTTTGAACTAATATACATCTTGGTTAAACAAAGAGAATGGAGAATGTTTATCCAAACATGAAGTACAATAGGTACTGGATACCACCTCAAACATACTTTGCACACCACCTCAAAACATACTTTACACACCACCACAAACATACTTTACACACACCACAAACATACTTTACACACCACCACATACATACTTTACACACCATCTCAAACATACTCTACACATCAACTTAAAGATGCTGCACATTCTAACATTCTAAATGATCACGTGTAGTGTTGGTGCGCGAGACATCAACGTTGGTTTGACATGTACACAACGCAAGTCATGTTATAATCCAGACTAATGAATATTAGATAAAATTAAAGTTTAATAATGCCACATATGTAAAACAGATTTAATGAGAGGCAGAAGCTGCTTCAGCGAGAGTATGCTGCATATGTCTGCCTTAAGTAAAGAGGACTTAAGCGAGAGTATACTGCATATGTGAAGAGGACTTAAGTGAGAGTATGCTGCATATGTCTGCCTTAAGTAAAGAGAACTTAAGCGAGAGTATGCTGCATATGTCTGCCTTAAGTAAAGAGGACTTAAGCGAGAGTATACTGCATATGTGAAGAGGACTTAAGTGAGAGTATGCTGCATATGTCTGCCTTAAGTAAAGAGAACTTAAGCGAGAGTATGCTGCATATGTCTGCCTTAAGTAAAGAGAACTTAAGCAAGAGTATGCTTAAGTAGAAAATTAAGTTCTATTGAGTTGGACAACCCGTTTCCGGGTTGTCCAACTCAATAGTACCGATTTTTACTTTGTAATTTCGTTGTAGGTGGGTATATACACTATAGTCGTCACCGTTACTATAAGTACTACCACAACAGGAGGATGGGCTGTATATAAAGAGGCGTTAAAGAGAGAGTATGCAGCACATGTCTACACATAAGACAAGAACAGACACATAAAGCACCTACAAACAGTTTATTAAAAATTATAAAAGTGTGGAAAATAATTGAAGAAAGCCAATTATAGAAGACTGAAAAATTAAATAAAAGGTCACAGATTAGAAAGCAGCATATTTCAATTATGGTAATATAAATTAAGGATGAATATTGCATTTGTATTAAAATGAATTATAATTACATAAACAAGTCCGGAGAATCGATATTGAGAAACGAAGGCTGCAATATTCGAGAACATTACACAAACTTAAGACTTTACAAAACTACACTGCTGACGAGACTTCAGTTATACAACACAGGTGTATTGTAGTAATTCTTGCATAATATGTCGACATATATATCTGGTGGACCAAACTCTCACAAGTCAAGACTGGCCCCGGGCCGGGCTTGGGGAGTAGAAGAACTCCCAGAACCCCATCAACCAGGTATCATATATCCAAATGTGACAGTGTCAGACCACGGAGGAAAATTGAAACAGAAGTTCTGTTCTCCTTCTGAAGATGTATTAATATACGAAAGTACTTAAGGAAATTCCTGTTTCAATTTTCCTCCGTGGTCTGACACTGTCACATTTTTAATCACGTGTTTATTTTCGTGATTTACACACATATCCAAATGTGGCAACTTTACCCAGGTAAATCCAAGCCAAGCGCACACCTTACCTTGTGCCCAGTATCCTCCGGCTTGCTAGGTGTGTTGAGCAGGTAACGCCCGACCTCTCCAATGTACAGTCCAATCTGATCATTATATACAGAATACACCATTTAATTTTCCATTACAATGCATTCAGGGTGCTCAATTTGATGTAATTTATACGAATTAATACGAAATAAAAAATAAAAAAGGCACAACTGAAACAATGAGAAACTTTATTTATTGAACAGGTAATATGAAGTGGAAAAAACAGGTGGTATTGTAATCTGGGTTCATTAACAAAAAATTTATTTTGTGAGAGTTATATGAATTATATTCCCCACAGAATGTTGCTACCATGGGTAACTGAGATGTTTCCCTAAGAATATTAAAATAAAGCTTTCACCGTCGTTCAATTGTCTATCAGTCTTGCACAAAAGTCTTCTGACTGTCGTGAAGGTCTCCATTAGAGTGGGTCCTCTGGTATCTACTTCTTCACTAGAGCTCACCTCTGAATAAATCTTTGACTTTGGCCTGCTTATGGGGCCTCAAACAGACGAAGACTCTGATGAACACAGAGCACCAAAGACGAGCACCCACACTCCATACGTCAGAAATCCCAAGTGACATTCTGAGCCACAATCATGAATGACCTCGATGACACATGATCCCATTGTTCTCCTCCCATTGGCTATACCTTGTCACGTGATCTTTAAAGCGTTGTTGACAGATATGATTGCACTAGAGCATCATCATGATTGACTAAAATAACACCTAAACACTCAGATAAAGGCTAACATCAACCTCATTCCATAAATGTATGCAGCCTAGCCTAAGTACCCCCTGGCACTTGTACACGCTGAGTGTGGGTGAGTATGACTCAAACAAGGCTGAACTTTTATGATGGACTGAAGTTGTATAACACTAGCCACCTATTTTTCCAATGTTTTCGAAAAGCATTATTGTTTACTATGTATAAAGAGCAATATAAAGTACGTTTTCGGGTGATGGTAAACGCATCAATGGCCATTTTACCGACAGAATTTGTTAGTTCAATCGGAGTAATACCTATACGACTATGTACCCAGGAAAGCTTTGTTTTATGACTACCAGAGAGAAGTCTCAACCAAAGGAGAGGAATTCAACCAATGTTGAATTTCAATTACCTTAAGATTACTGAAGTTAAAAGGTTCAACAATCATTTAAACACTGTTTGTGTAGACAACAATAATACATGATTGTTGTTGACTCATTTAAATTCATTTTCTTAAAAGTTCTGTTTTAAAAATACTTGCCTTAAAAGTGTTTGCGAAGCACCAAAATTCTTAAACATAACAACTTTGATGTATAATAACGCTTTATAACAACGCTTATTAAGTGATATGCCATATTAAGTGATATGTCAGAGATATGCAAATTCGTAGAAATTTTAGTGATTTATAAGCAGACTTTTATATTTTTTTCCTTAAGAGCTATCGTCAATTGACATAAGCCGCAGTGTGATTATATATAACAAATGACGTATGTTATGGCCTAAGGAATAAACGCAACATAAAGCAGAGCCAAATTTATTGTAGGTCTAATTCAGTACAGGTATTTATTTTCCGTATGTTCACTTTAAAATTTTAAAGTGGCTCTGAAGGAGTATATCTACAACTCATTACAATTCTGACAAATATATATGTATTTTAGATTAGTTGTTTTAAATGAGTCTCCATAATATACAGACACAATAATAAAAGACTTCGCAGATAGGATCATTTCATCTGAATTCAATGCTTTATAGAAGATTTGTCTAATGTTTATAATTAGTACTACTAAGGTCTTGGATTTATATCTCATAATTACAAAATCACATATAAACATTCAAAGTAGATTCAGTCATTAAATGTCTATGCAGTATATATAAACCAAACTTTGTATGGAACATACTGTTGCACGATACTTGATGACATCTGTCCAGTATTCTGATGCTGAAAATTTCCTTTTGAGTACAACAGAGCAGCCGAACAACAAGGCCTGGCCAGTCCCCATTATCCCGCCTGAAGAGTGGTAGAGGGGGAGCGGGTTGTATATCACGTCTCTTGGGCTGAAACTGGCTAAATAATATGCGCCGCAGGTGAAGTTGAGAAACCTGAGGTGGAAAAATATAACTAGACGAGAATCAGGTTAAAATAATAAAAAAAAAACATAATTACTGAACAAGCTACAGTTTAAATATAGACATCAAACTATTTAAGGGGCACTTAGAATTTAGTTGATAACGTGGAAGTCAGGTAAGGAGATGGGTAAATGGACAGAGGTATTTCCTCACTTAGATCATACGGGAGCAAAATGGTGGGATTAATGATTGAACTTACTCCAAATTTTGCAGTAATTATTGCTACTATGGAGGGAATGCAAACAATATTGACTGTTGTACCCGAAAAGACCACGTTTTGTACTACTGAAATATTAAACGCCATGATAAAATATGCAATAGCTTAACCATCAACGTAACCGAGCCTGTCCACCTATACGAAATCGTGGGCCTAATTTAGTACGTGATTGAACTATTCTAGGCCTAGGAAAATTTAGGTTTTGTTTGTTGCTTTCTTTCTATAAAATTCCTCTAAAAAATGAATAATACAAAACGTAAACTTTTGCCAAATCATATATAGGTATGATAATATAAAAGGTAATAGCTATAAGTACTATAATTTTTAGAAGATGGACTGAACTGGATAAATTGATTTTATCCAATACAATCTTACACTGATCAGAGTTTCAAGTTCAGGAAGGTTTAGTGATACAATATAATTACACTTCAGTGGCACGGAGTGGCTGATTATTACTACCCTCTTCTTTAACAAGTCCCTCGAGGAGCTCGTAAATAATCAAACACACAGCATACATCCTGCTCTCTTAACATAATTATTGCATTAAAATAAGTTGGCCATTTATAACTAAATACTACCGTATAGAATTATTACATGAAAATATTTGCATTACATCTCATTTATGTATTACATTAAAGTAAGTTTAATATTAAATCCTTGGTGCAAAGTTTTCGAACCTCCATGCATCCATGTAATTTGATGAGGATTAACATTACAAATTTCCTAACTTTTGTATTTATCTATAAATGTATATTCTTCAACATAGTGATCTAGTGTACGACCCCTCGGCATGCTGAATATTTTACATTCCTTTATTTATTTATTTATTTATTTATTTATTTATTTATTTATTTATTTAACTATAAGAAAGTACAATGGTTATGAAAGTTCATATGTTGGTGAATGCAAAGCCACCAGCACGCATAGTGTTTGACCAGACCACACACTAGAAGGTGAAGTTGTTGTTATAGATTAAGCTACTCGGAACAAGTTCCAAATAGCACGGGCTATGGTGAGCCCGTAACTTACCTGGCACAGGAGCGGGGCAAGAAGCACGGGCTATGGTTAGCCTCGTGGACGGGAGATGTCTCCCGTCCCTAGTAGGTGAAGGGACGACGACGTTTCGGTCCGTCCTGGACCATTCTCAATCGACTTGAGAATGGTCCAGGACGGACCGAAACGTCGTCGTCCCTTCACCTTCTGGTGTGTGGTCTGGTCAAACTACTTCAGCCACGTTATTGTGACTCATCGCCACCACACGCATAGTGTTTCAGACAAGTTCTAAAGCTAATCATAGAATTTACAATGAATTTAAAACTAAAAGGTGAAATAGTTCATCTTGAAATACAAAAAAAATAAAATTAATGACATGCACATAATAGCAAAAACTGATTTCACGTAATTACTTTGTCTTTGTCAATACAAAGATGTGAAAAAAGAAATGATATTGACGTGGTTGCATTTCTAGATAGTAAAATACTGGGTGAGTTAGTAGCAAAAGGTGGGATACTAGGGTGATAAACTTAGGTACTTTTGAATAAATTATAGTTCATTGTTTTACTTCATTATGAAGGGCGTTCCATCTATTGGGTCCTTTTATTAGGTCCAAATATGCCTTTAGCACGGCATGTTTGCATAGATTATCTGACCTGGGAATATAAAAAATATATTTATTTATGTTTGATGTTCATTGCCTCCATTTAGGAAGAACCAACCAAATTATAACGGCGATAAATGAGCAGCCAACATTAAATGCATACTTTACATCCAGTGCTCACACTGGATACAATATAATAGAGAGAGATCAAACATTACAATACCCTAATAAATGTTTGAAGCAGATGAAGAGAACGAATTAAGGGATATTCGCATAACGTGCGATATAATCAGGAAGAGCACTAACAATCTAAAAGATTTAAAAGCCCCAGGTGTGGATGTAATTCAATGCAAAGTTGTAAAGGAACTGGCAGATGAACGCTGTCTACCACTGAAACTTCTTTTCAGACAATCTCTGGACCAAGGGATAGTTCCCTTAGACTGGAAATATGCAAATGTCACCCCTATTTTTAAAGAATGCAGAGAGCTCAGCAGGAAACTACCGTCCAATCAGGGTGATCTCATATCTGCAAGCTCACGGAGAGAATCCAAAGGGAGAGACTCCTTCACCACCTCACAGTGAACAATCTAGTAAATCAACGCAACATGGTTTTGTTCAAAATAAATCCTGCCTTACTAACCTGTTCACATTTTTGGAAACGGTAACCAGGTATCCAGACAAAGGGCTTGCAGTAGATGAAGTATTCATGGACTTCACTATAGTTTTGGATAAGGTATCAAATGAAAGACTTGCAAGGAAATTAAAAGCACATGGAATAAATGGATAATACTAGAATGCATAAAACAATGGTTAAAACAAAGAAAGCGAAGGGTCGCCCTAAATGGAAGCGAATCTGACTGGAGAAATGTGGTGAGTGGGGTACCGTAAGGGTTCTATTTGGGGCCAACCCTATTTGTCATATACATAAATAACATAGATGATAATATTACAACGTACATAATCAAATTTGCAGACGACGTTAAGATTTATTGTAAAGTAGGAAATTAAAATGATACTGAGGCATTACAAAGAAATCAATGTGAACTCCATAAATGGTTGTAAAACTTGCAAATGTTTTTCAATATCGAAAAATGCAAGTCCTTGCATGTAGGACATAACAATGCGTATCACAACTACCAGATTAACAACATTATCTTATAGCAGATTGATGAAGAAAAGAACCTTGGAGTCAGAATCCATCAATCACTGAAAGTTGCACAACAAGAGGGAGCTGCGGTAAAAATAAAAACAAGCAAACCCTAGGAATGGTCAAACGAACCCTTGACTTCAAGGAAAAGGTTGTTATTCAACTGTATAAATCTCTGGCAAATCCCCACTTGGGCTATTGAATCCACTCATGGCGACTTCATCTGCTTTGAAGAAAGTTCAGCACCGGGTGACAAAAATTATCATAGAACTAAGTCAATTCTCATAGCAGCACGGTTGAGACACACAGGGCTAATTGGCATTGAAAACTAAACATGACAGGGCTGACCTCGTCGAAACTTTTAAGGCTGAACAATTTGCGTGATATTGATCCAGACCACTTCCATAAATAGTCAAATTGATAAAAAACAAGGAGCAACGGTTTCAAGCTCAACAAGGACCAATGTGGGACAGAAAACAGCAGATGCTTTTCACCCATAGTGTTATAAACCCATGGAACGGCCTACCCGTCAAAGCTTTAAATGCTAAAACATTGCTGCAATGCAAAAAAATTACAAAATGTAAAAATCCAACTGGATAAAATCAGGATTAATGGGGATTGTCATACTTATGACAAACCGTCGGCTTCTATCCACGTCGAGGCCACTAGAGATAATAACCCTCATGTAAATACAGGTAAATACCTCTGGGTCTCTGGGATATTTATATCAAGGTTAATGCCAATTGTGGAAATGAGGCTATTAAAATCAGTTACTAATTCTAAATCCGTTGCCAGTTTATTGCCATCTTTGTTGAATTTAATGTTTATTACCTGAGCGTTGTTTGGATCCTAGGATATTTGAGATGGCTTTCCATGTGCTTATCATGCTTCATTTGGATCCTTAAATTTGTTTAAAAAATATGATATTTTAGCTCTTCGTAGTATATTGGTAACTGTAGATGAGTATATTTTTGCTAATTCCTTTGTAACTAGGCCAATCCTGTGTTTTTCATATTCATGTTTTTTGTAAATTGTTTTATGTATACCATTTGTGAGGTAGGGTTTGCTTAATCTTTTGCTAGTTACTTGTTCGGTGAGAAGATGACAGTGTGTGTTGTAGGGGCTTAAGGTTTTGGCATGGAAGATGTCAGTTGATGAATTTATATAATGTGTATTATTTAATTCAGATTTCCAGTTTATATTACAAAGCGCATATATGAGGTTGTTATTGGTTTCGCTGTGTGGCCTGAAAGTTCATTTTTTCAGCAACATCAGCACCGTATTGCCAGTAATATTTGTGGATAATATATGCTGGTTGAGTACTAATTGTTTTTAGACAAGAATATTAAACAGGTAGGAAACATTGAACAAACTCGAAGACGAATGAGGAAGTTTTTTTTTAGTTTAGTTCATTTATTATGCACCCCATACCCATCTTGTGGGCAGTGAGGAAGGTAAACTAATAAATATGGAGGCACAAGAGGAGACAGGCGGTTAAATGGATAGGAATATACATGTAGTTAAATGGATAGGAATATACATGTAGCATACACAGTATTTACATAAATGAATGACTTCACTAAATAACAAATTGCAATCAACTACAATTTATACTTAACAACTAATTACCTTGAATGTTTAATTATGGCAGGTTTAGGCAAGCCAGTTGTTCCTGAGGTATAAATATACATCATACTATCAGTGATGTTGATATTCTTAAGCTGAGGAGGGCTAGTGATAGCTGCATCACCGACGTCAGCATCCAGGTCCACACAATCTGATGTATTTAGTCGAAATCATATAATAATGTGACATCACCATTAGAACATTTTGTAGTGTAAACACTGGTTAAACGTAATTACCGTACTGAAACAAGATAATAGTTGATTTATGCTTTGTTGGTCATTTCAAGCATATTTGCAGTGAGGCAGAAGCTGGCAGACACGATTTACATGGTCTGAGCTGTAAGAAGACAATGATATGGTATTTCAAACATAACAATCACGTCACGAAGATGTAGGTTTTCAGCTCATCGAAAAAACAAGAGATCAATGATCTGCCAGCTTTCTTCTCCAATGCATTCTTGCTTCATGCTCGACGCCCGAGGAGCTCCAGAAATATTATAACTTCTAACAATTGAGTGTGTAGCTTTGTAAGCAATTATGCATAATCAAGCTTCTTATAAAATAACTAATTAGTGGGGGATGTTAAATGACTATACTAACGCATGTGTGGAAACATGTTTTTTAATATCGAAAAATGCAAGACATGGGGCATACCAATGTACATCACAACTACCAAATCGACGACTTTACCATGCAGCAGATCGATGAAGAAAAGGACCTTGGAGTCATAATTCATCAATTATTGAAAGTTGCACAAGTGGGAGCTGCAGTTAAAAATAAAACCAGCCAAACCCTAATAATAGTCAAATGAATATTTGACTTCAAGAGAAAGAAGGTAGCTATTCAACTGTATAAATCTCCGGTGAGTCCCCCACTTGGACTATTGTATCCAAGCACACATGTAATGAGTTAATGAAACTTCTGATTTGATGTTAAATCGTCACACATGCTTCACTTGTTATACAAAAAATTATTTATGGGACTTAACTACCAATTTCACTCTTACTATATGGCACTGCCTCCTGCTAGTTGACACTGGCACGTGCAAAGAATAAGTCACACTAACGTGGCTGACAAAACAAACAACAAACCCACACACATTGACAGAAGGTTTGCGTCCTTCCCGATCATTATCAAGACCAAACTAAGGGTTAGGAAGGGGAAGAAACAAACACAATGAAAGAGAGGATGTGATATGATAGTTACCCAGTATTCCGCAGTAATTCTTATGGATTTGATGTCCAAAGGGTTTGGAAGGATGGGGGAGGTAGAGGAGTGGGGAGGTGAAATTCTGGAAGAGGATGTGGGTATGAAGAGAAAGGAGGTTTGACAGTTCGGTGGCCTGTCCACCATGGGTTGAATTCTTATGTTTTTTAACATAAACAATCTTATGTTTTTTATGTTCTTATTAGAGGTGGTGAACGAAATACAACTCCTTACTAAAATAAATGAAAACTTAATAAAGTAAGTTGAGCAGGGAAACTAAATAAATAAATTATAAACACGAAAAATATATAAATGAAAAAAAGATAAATAAAACAGAGAAACAAATTTGAAGTAGAGAGAGACAGAAGGAGAGCAGTGTGGTGGAAAGATAGGCAAGTTTTCCATGCACGTCTTAGCGGTCTTCTTCATGCACGCTAACAAGATTAAAGAGTATCTAATCTATAAGCTAATATAACATGAGAGAACATTATTTGAAGTGATAAAAGCAAATGCCATTAGTATTCATCTTAAATAAAAGATTTATGAAACGCTCAAGGTCTGATAAACGCTTCTGTCTGATAAATTTTATATCCGCTCTTTATAAACATATTTGAAGCAGTAGATTATATAAGAATACAATATTTTACAATTAAACTCTGGTTCCACAAGAGATGGGTAGGTACATATGCGAAAAGTAGTGGATAAAATCCCTTAAATTGCAACAGATCATCGATAAGCACATGCAACAAGAGGGTCATCCCAAACGGTATAAAGTGAGCGTGGGTGAGAGTAGCAAGAAGTGTTGCAGGGCTCTAATCCCGACACCTCTACTGTTCACCACACACATCAATGCTTCACATGCTGGAGTGAATACCAACCCCGTAAATGTGCGACATCACTAAACAGCGCATACAGTGCATTCAGACAAGGATGCAGAAACGATACAGGAGAATCTAAACTGAAATTTGACAAATGCACTTCAAAGCCACAAATAAACAGATGTAAGCCTAGGAAAAAACGAAGGTATCATACATCAGATAATTAATAGTAAATTGCAAAATCAGTTAAAAACATAGGGGAGGCATTTGGATCGGTCCCTGTAAAGAGAGATATGGACACTTAATTTACATTCCCTAAAAAAGTGTCGAGTAAGAGGGGAAAATAAATTAAAATTTGGTATATTAAATTAAGAAACGAAATAGGAACGCGTTACCAAGTTAAAAAGTAATTTTTTTATATTTCATAACAATAAAATTTCAAATCTAAAGTATAAATTAAATATGTATATAATTGTAGTGTTGGATAGAAATAAGTTGCCTCGCAAGGGCCAACAGATCTTCTGCAGATTCCTCTATTCTTACACAGATATTCGGCAGGATTCCTCTATTCTTACACAGATCTTCTGCAGGATTCCTCTATTCTTACACAGATATTCGGCAGGATTCCTCTATTCTTACACAGATCTTCTGCAGGATTCCTCTATTCTTACACAGATCTTCTGCAGGATTCCTCTATTCTTACACAGATCTTTTGAGGGATTTCTCTATTCTTACACAGATCTTCTGCAGGATTGTCCTATTCTTACACAGATCTTCAGCAGGTTCCTCTATTCTTACACAGATCGTCTGCAGATTCCTCTATTCTTACACAGATCTTCAGCAGGTTCCTCTATTCTTACTCAGATCTTCAGCAGGTTCCTCTATTCTTACACAGATCTTCAGCTGGTTCCTCTATTCTTACAGATCTTCAGCAGATTCCTCTATTCTTACACAGATCTTCAGCAGGTTCCTCTGTTCTTACACAAATCGTCTGCAGATTCCTCTATTCTTACGCAGCTCTTCAGCAGGTTCCTCTATTCTTACACAGATCTTCTGCGTTTTCCTCTATTCTTACACAGATCGTCTGCAGGTTCCTCTATTCTCACACAGATCGTCTATAGATTCCTCTATTCTTACACAGATCTTCAGCAGGTTCCTCTATTCTTACACAGATCTTCAGCAGGTTCCTCTATTCTTACACAGATCTTCAGCATGTTCCCCTATTCTTAAACAGATCTTCTGCAGGTTCCTCTATTCTTACACAGATCTTCAGCATGTTCCCCTATTCTTAAACAGATCTTCTGCAGGTTCCTCTATTCTTATACAGATCTTTTGCAGATTCCTCTATTTTTACACAGCTCTTCTGCAGATTCCTCTATTCTTACACAGATCTTCTGCAGGTTCATCTATTCTTACACAGATCTTCAGCAGGTTCCTCTATTCTTACACAGATCTTCAGCAGGTTCCTCTATTCTTACACAGATCTTCAGCAGGTTCCTCTATTCTTACACAGATCTTCAGCAGGTTCCTCTATTCTTACACAGATCTTCAGCAGGTTCCCCTATTCTTAAACAGATCTTCTGCAGGTTCCTCTATTCTTATACAGATCTTCTGCAGATTCCTCTATTCTTACACAGATCTTATGCAGATTCCTCTATTCTTACATAGATCTCCAGATTCCTCTATTCTTATGTTCTAACACTGTTTTCCCACTGCCGTATTTTTTTTCAGTAATTTATTTCATAGTTGTTGGAGCTATGATGACGTGGATCATAAGACAAGGTGCAAAATAATACAATATATAATCACACATTTTATATTCATACCTTTGATAGTCAGCTCCCTCTCATCAGCACCACACACATACAATGGAAGACTTGAGACTCCTTCGTCATCATCATCATCTAGAATATCACTAATTGCTGAAATATGAAAGATAGTGTATGAGTTATAATTAAAACCGATACAAATTGCACTTTTGTAACAATAAATACGTCTTGTGTAAATATTATTTCTGATCATTTTTTATATTAATAAGCTTAGGTATTAATAAGCTTTTTGTCATATACATCAATGATATAGATGAGAATATTACAAACCACATGATCAAATTTACGGATGACGCTAAGATTTACGATAAAGTGGGAAACGAAAATAATATTGAAGCCTTACAAAGAGGCATCATGAAGCCTTGTATGAACTCCACAAATGGACAGAAGACTGGTTAGTTAGTTTCGTTCATTTATTATGCACCCCATACCCACCTTGTGGGTGGTAGTGGAAAGGGTTACAGAGGCACATAATGGGCTCAGGGACTGAACCCCACAATTCATTTAGCTAAGCAAGTTACAATCTTGATGAGCTAGTTACAAAATTCAGTAAGACTGGCAAATGCTTTTTAATATCGAAAAATGTAAGACCCTGCACGTTGGGCGTAACAACCCCCGTCACAACTACCAAATTAATAATATTATGTTGCAGCTGATTGATGAAGAAAAAGACCTTGGGTCAGAATTCATTAAAAGTTGCACAACAAGTGAGAGATGCAGTAAAAAAAAAATACCCTAGGAATAATACAGTGAACATTTAACTTCAAGGAAAAGAAAATAGTGATTCAATTGTATAAGTCTCTGGTGCCCCCCACACTTGGATTATTGTATCCAAGCACGGGGACCTCATCTTCAGAAAAACATATCTGCTTTGGAGAAAGTTCAATGCCGGCGACTAAAATAATTATTGAAGTAATTCGACTCTTATATCAAGAACCGTTGAGGGCTACAGGGCTAACAACGTTACAAACCAGACATGACAGGGCTGATCTCACTGAAACTTTTAAAATGCTGAACAATTTGAGAGGATATTGATCCAGACAATTTCTTCAAAAGGTCAGATGTAACACGAACAAGGAGTAACGATTTAAAGCTCAACAAGCCACAATACAGGATGGAAAATAGGAGATACTTTTTCACTCATGGCGTTATAATCCTATGAAAATGCCTTCCCGCCGAAGCCGTAAATGCTAAAACACTGCTGAATTTGAAAATCCAACTCGATTAAAATCAACAGGCCAAATGGGGGGGGAGACCTTTGACAAGCTACTGGCTTCCTGTCCTCGTCGAGACCACTAGGGACATAGTGGCCCTCATGTAAATTCAGGCAAATAATGAAAGCTGAAGATGGTGCCAGTCTATAGGGAGAAGAAGTGAGATACAGACACAAAAGAGGTAGCTCAATGAGTTTGTTTATGATATAGATAGGAAAGCTTCATAGGTGATGAATAAGATGAATTAGATACCGTACCTTGCTGTAGCTCTGCTTCATAAATAATAGCCTTACAAGATGCCACTGTGATGCACGTCTTCAGAGAATTTAAGCGCAAGCTGCTGTTGATAAGCGCTGGTATTGCTCCGATCTAGAGTGAAAGTTAAGTAATTAGGCAATAAATATGAACTGATTTTGTCATCTTATATATATTTTCTAAATCACTTTGCATTCTACCTTCTTCGTCCAAAACGCAGATTCGCTTCCTTATTGGCTGAAAATAGATTATAGAGGTGTAAGAGGACGTCAAGTAATTTGAGTTAAACATTTTGTCTATACCATCTTCTGAGATGAGCAAGTGTGAGTAAAATATATGGTAATATCCATATCCGCGTGTATTTCCATCTGAATATTTTGCATCGATTCTTATCTCTTACAGAAACATCTAGTTAGTTTAGTTCATTTATTATGCATCCCACACCTATTCTGTGAGCGGAAGTGGAAAAGTTACACAAGATCAGAGACTACCCCAAAATTCACTTACCCAGCAATAACAGTATTGATAAGCTAATTACAGATTTTAATGTATATTACAGTATTATATAAATAATGGGTTTGAGAATAAACACCAGTACAATCTCTAAGCCAAGCAATTTATATATACGGTGAGTTAGTTTCATTATTTGATGTCATTATAATATGTCAAGTTCTGGAGACTTGTACACATCTGAATGCAAGAAGTAAAGTAAATAGTTCGGTCTGAGGGTAGAGGGCAAAGCTGTTTATACGGATTCACCACTCAAAATATAAACTATCACCAACTGTCAGGACAACAGCACTTCCAGCTGCACCCGTGGGGCGGTGTAGGGAACCATAAGTGTATATGGTTTGAGAGAGAGAATGATCTGTGGATGGAGTATTAATATGTTTTAAACATTTCGTACCCATTTGCACCTACCAGGCATCCTCCGAATTGACAGTGTGGTTTAATACTAAGTACAATTCGTGAAAGTACAATTCGTGACACCAAGGAATAGTACATAATTACACTTACGTCTGCCGTTACATTTACCTCCCTATATATTCTCCTCGTTTTCTGTTAAAACACTCAGAATTTGAGTGTTTGATGAAGTTTTCAAATTCAATCATATATACACACACACACAAGTTTTAAATATAAAGAACTTCTTTTTCAGTCTTATTAAACAATAGAGATATTATATAAAATTTGAAAATATCCTGAGTTACTGTACAATTTATTGAAATATTTTAGTTTTGTTTTATTAGTTTTATAAATCTGTAATTTCAATATAGCTATACGTTAAGTACTAATTGTACTTAAGAAGCAATAAAATGCTTGTCCTCAGAGGTCACGACCTCTCCGTAGGGTGCAGTCGCACCGCCATAGATCTCCAGTATCAGCTACTGATACTGGTAATGGCTCCAAAGGGCCACCACTTACGGGCTATTCATGCCCGTGCCATCTTTTTGGGTGGCTTAATCTTCATCAATCAATCATCAGCTTGTCCTCATACACTAAAAAGGTTAGGTTAGGTCGTGGTTTTCTATTCAGCTTTTCAGGTAAACTCAAATATTCACAATATTTTGGTGCGATTCTGGCGATTATTTGACAGTACGGTTTAATACTAAGTGTAATAAATACAATTCCTAACTGCTAGGAATAGTACATAATTACACTTACTTGTGCCGTTACATTTACCTCCCCATATTCGGAGGATGGGCTGCATATCTATGTCTGGAAAATTTATATTGAGGCATTTGTTTTACTTTTCATTCTTGTTGCACATACTTTTATATTTATTTAAACTGGCATCAACATCCAGCAATTATTTTGTTCCCCATTAATTATCCTTCTCCATACATTTTATACAACTCTGTACTCGCTAGATTTTTTTTATGGATACCACTACTCTATTCCTTTCCGACTCAATATTTACACTTCTCTTTCGGTTTAAATTACTGCAACAATTTTTAACTTTACTAAATGACAACGCTTTATAATTACATAAAACATTTTAATAAAGTCAACTTCCAATATTTTCTTACATATTTATTTTAATTTCGCTTTTATTTTTACTCGTGTCATTTTCCAAAAGGACACATAGCAGACTAACAATATTCTTCCTAAACACTTATACAGCAATTCAATAATTTACAGACATAAACGGACTGAAAATTAGACGCCCAATTCACACATAAGAAAAGAAAGGAAGTAACAGCGTTTCGGTCAGTCCTGGACTATTATCAAGTCGTGAAAAGAAAGAGTGGCAAAGAAAGTCAATATATAAGGTAAGAATGTCAGAGGAAAGTCAAGAAGGTAAGAAGTAAACCGTAGGAGTTAACAGTAATAAAGAAAATTTCTGGTTAATTGGCGAAAAGAACGTGTGAGACAAAAGATATAGCAACAGTAGAGACTGAAACGAAATAAGAGATAAAGCTAAGTCTGATCACGTTTGTTAAGAAGAGCAGATCCTTTATAATAATTCAATGTGCCAAGGGCAGGCATCCAGAATATATATACCTCTATTGTTCCTATAATAATATTTGCATGTTAGGCTTATATCGAAGTCCCCCAAGATCGAATTGCTGACCCTCCCCAGGATGTAACCCCACAACGAGCTGACTAATTCATGGGTACCTATTTACTGCTAGGTGAACAGGGGCATAGGGAATGCACCCAACCATTTCTGTCCCGCCTGGGATTCGAACCCGGAATTCCCAATTGTGAGTCGAGCATGAACCAGACTTTATCACCGGGACTAATATGTATATAATATGTATATATTAGTCTAATGAGATCGAGGAACACGTCAGTAGAAAGTGGGAGATGAAGAAAGCCCTCAGTCGTCTTCTAACGAAGGAAAGAAAGAGTATCAAGGAGAACATCTGTATGAAAAATATTTAACATTATGATTAAACATCTTATGCAAAGGTTGCAGGTTGTTGCAATCTGTTGATGAAGTCCTGAGAGTGTACGAAGGTGGGAGGGAAAAAGTACTAAGATGAGGAATGAGTTTTGGCCAGCGATGGGTCAAGAAGATAACGGACAGAGTTTATTGCAGAAATAATAGGATGAAAAGAAACGCCAAGTTTGTAAGTTTTAGGGAGACCAGAGAAATAAGGAAGATTAGGACAAATGTCACGGAAGCATTTGACGAGATCAAAGTCAGGAGGACAGAGACAAGAGAGCTGTCTTAGTTTACAGTTAAAAGTAAGTTTAAGGTGATCCAAATGGTTAGAAACCAGAGGAGCCTGAAAATCAGAGCAAAACATTAACCTTCTATAGGTTGTCCACATGATTAAGGACAACCACCGTATTGCCTTTGTCAGAAGGAAGGGGTGACAAAAGTTTTGTTAGTTCTCAGCGAGGAAAGGGCAAGCTGATAACGATGAGGAAGGTTGTTATTTCTAGAAAACCGACCGGTCTCTTGTCAATATTTCACCTCTTTCTCTTCGCCAGTAGGCCTTCTGCAGTTTTATCTTTTCATGTTAGCACCTACAGTTTACTCCTTACCTTCTTGCGTCTCACCTTATATTCTTACTTGAATATTATGGGCTATTTATGCCCGTGCCACCTCTTGGGTGGCTTAATCTTCATCAATCAATCAAACGAGTTTATAATGATCCAGGACTGACCGAAACGTCGTCACTTCCTTTCTTTTCAGATGTGTGGGTTGGGTGTCTCATTCTCTAATTTTCTTCTAAATACAGTGTACTTAAATATACATACAGTACATGTATAATGTACAATTAAAACATGAACAACATTCAGGCAACTTACCTTGGAAAGTCCAAGCCATATGCAAATGTACTTGACACTGTTTTTCATTAAAATTCCAATCACATCTCCTTGCTCCACTCCTTTGTCAGCAAAGTAATTACCAATTTTATTACTGAAAGCGTCAACCTAAAAGAAGTAAAATAACAATAACTTATTTGAATAACTGTAATTGGTTTCTGTACCTGGCCATGTACTAAATTCCCCACACAGACAAAATTTGAGATAAATACACGTCCACATTTGTAGTTTCGTATTTTTTTTAATTAAGTTCTAATTACACATAACGCGTTCCAGATAAGTCTGAAAGTTAACCTATACAACTGTTATATAGCTGTATTATAGGTTTAGTTATACAGAACTTATAAATGGGATTCTGACAGAGTACTTCTTAAAATTAATAGATATAGATAATTTTTAGTTCTATTGTTTCCACCTATATAATTGCATATTACAAGGCAAGTAAAAAAAACGTTAATAGCGTATAAATTAAGAATTTTTTTATTTTTTTTTATTAGTTAGTTAAATGTATAAGATTTTTTTTTCATTTGTGAGTTTACAAGTTAGTAGTTTACTTGTATATACTTACCCCAAAGGTCTATTTGTTGACCTGTGTAAGGCCTTTGACACCGATCATCACAATAACTTTCTTCTCATACTGCATCACTATGGTTTCAGGGGTCATTCCCTACAGTACTTTGTAGGGGAATTAATCTTACTTTAATTCGTATGGGAATTAGTACCTCAGTAAGTAGGTAAGGGAATCTTACCTCAGTAACAGTCACCAGAATGTTTCTGTGAACGTTGCTATTTCTCCCACACTGATTAGAATATACAGAATATCATCTTTCTCTTAAGCATTCTAGATAATATCCTTCTCTGTACGCATTCTAGAGAATATCATCCATATCTGTACTCATTCTAGATAATATTACGCTTCTTCTGTACACATTCTAGAGAATATCATTCTTTTCTGTACGCATTCTGAAGAATATCATTCTAGAGAATACCATCCTTCTCTGTACGCATTCTGAAGAATATCATTCTAGAGAATACCATCCTTCTCTGTACGCATTCTGAAGAATATCATTCTAGAGAATACCATTCTTCTTTGTACGTTCATTCTGAAGAATATTAATCTAGAGAATACATATATATTTATAGTATATTGCCCAAAACTGAACTGCACAATCTATATGATGCATAACAAGAGGAAGATATATAACTCAAGAATGACTTCAGCTGTCATATTACTAACACTTCTATTTGTGTACCTTATTTGCTTTATTTAGAACGTTTATACATTGTTATTTTCACTCAAGATCCTTATTAATTATGATATCCCGATCTCTTTCGTTGTCATATTTAGCAATTTTAACATTATTCCGTTGATATCTGGTAACTTTTATCATCTGATAAGTTTAAAATATGACATTTGTCAGAATTAAATTGCCTTTGACAAATTTTCGTCCATTTAAAAGCCTATCTAGGTAGAAATTTAGGAATTTTAAAGTATTAATTTATTTCCTGCTCTTATTTTTGTGTCACAAACACTAAACGCAGTATCCGGCGGTGCCCGGGTCTGCATGTCTGTTTCTCCCTTCCTCCCCTAACCTTCCTTTCACGTTTCTCCCTCCCACCTCCTCCTCACATCCACAAGCACCCTTCCCCTTTTCTGCCCCATATACATACAAATGTATATTTAACTCATGAGTCACACATAACAGGTATCTCAGGACAAAACTATGCAATACTCTTCCTGAAAAAAAATAACTCACCTGAAGAAAGGTCCAAGATTCATTTTCAAAATAAAATGCAATCTTATCTCTCTTCTTATATACGGTTTTCTCGAAAAGTTTAGGGACACAGAGGTTGTTCCTCGTGATATAAGACATCTTTAACAGCAATCTAAAGTAGCTCACTAGACCTCTGAAAGACAATGTTTATACAATCAATGCCATTTGTTTTGATGATAACAACACAGCATATATATTGCATATATCAATATATCGGGTGAGATGGTCCCTGTAACCAAACCAACTAAAACGTTAAAGGGAAAGGGAGGGAGGAGGGGGGGGGGGAGTGAAGGGCAAAGGAACGAACATGTTCCTAAAAATAAAGTATATCATATTCACCAAATCACCAAAAGAGGTCTACATTAAAATAAACAAACCTAGCCCATTAAGAGAATGCTTCAGGGTCCTGTTAATAACTGGATCGTTGGCCACATGGACGTAATATCGCCTTTTCCAACTTACACTTTAGAACATCCTACACTTTATGCGTTTTTCATCGTTTAGGTGATTGTAACCTATACACCGCTGTCAACTGGATGGGGGGGGGGGAGGGTTGCAGGATAAACATATCAGTTGTGACACTAGCTCTCAACATGTCAGTTGCTTAATTTAGAAACTGTACTTGTGATCGGTCTCGAGCCCATTGTTGATGTGACGATGTGTATTGAATTTTGTAACTAACTCATCAAGATTGTCATTTGCTTAGCTATATGAATTGTGGGATTTAGTCCCTGAGCCCATTATGTGCCTCGGTAACTCTTTCCACTACCGCCCACACAATGGGTATGGGGTGCATAATAAATTAACTGAACTTCAACTTCATCGTTAGGTGTTGATTTCAACAAACAGAGAACTTTGCAAATGAGAAGGTATTGCGCGATTAAAGTTTCTTTTTGCAGTACTTAAAATTTCTGAAAGAACAACATCCTCTTAATTTAGTAATTTTAATTTTTTTTTTCAAAATAGTAGTGCAAAAAATCACTGAACTGTTAGTCACATATTTTATTATAAAGATCGACTTTAAATATCATATGAAAGCAACGTATACCTAGCTTTTGTTCGCGTAAGAATTTAGGTAATTATTTAACAACCTAAAATAATTCTGAGGACTTTGCTTTGCATTTTTTAATTTATCAATAGTTTTACTGACGACTAAGGCTGAAGAATAGTTATCCATTTAAGACCTTATACAAGTACAGAATTTTAGCCTTATACAAGTACAGAATTTTAGCTAATCTAAAATTTACATAAAATTCAGGACTGAATCCTACTACAGTCTGAAAGAATGGATTGATTGTTGATGTAGTTTTATTAAGAGCTGCTAGTCAAACATTAAAATGGACAAAATTCACCTACCTGAAATCCCGATTGATTGTCGATAGTATGTACATCCATTTGTTGAGCCACGTAAATAGCCGTAACATAACCCTGGTAAGTAGAGTAGACATACTGAAAAATATGATAATGACAATATTTATGATGGTGCAGTGGCCAAATTTAAGGAAGGGTTAATGGGCTCAAATGTATTTATTCACAAGAAAATACATTAGGAATTAAAAAAAAAATTGGTGCGTGAAAAATATATAATATTTTGGTACAGCATATAGTTGCAATTTAATTAATATAGCTAAAGTGCTAAGTTGAATAAAGGTACACTTGCAGTCATGCACTAACATAGCATTTTACATGCTTACAAAGCCACTAACACGCATAGCGTTTCGGGGAGCTCCTTAATCTAATATATCAGTAAGATAAAAATGTACATTGTAGCAAAGTTTTATATCAATATACAACTACAATATAAATTGACAGAAGTGATTACACTGGTGAAGACTTATGTCTTAATTACGTACTAATATTGGGGAAGTGGGTAGCACAAGATACACTTCGAGTAAGCGTTACAGCTTTAAGAATTGATGTATTTATTGAAAATAAAGTGATTTGTAAATTAACAGAAAAGTCAATTTTAAAATCTTAAAATAAAGGAGAGGGCTTTAACAAGCCGCCGACTTCCTGCCCCCGTCGAGGTCATTAAAGAGATGGTGGCCCCCTCAGGTAAATTAAATGTGTTTTATTTATATATACAAGAGTTCTTACATTCTTGTGCAGCCACTAGCACGCATAGCGTTTCGGGCAGGACCTTAATCCTAATTTTTTCCGGAATACGATCCGCCAAATCGTTTAACCACCAGGTACCCATTCACTGCTGGGTGAACAGAGGCTACAGTTAAGGATTGGCGCCCAGTCAATCCTTCCAGGCCAGGATACGAACCCAGGCCAAAGCCCTCGGAAGTACTGGGCAAATATTTTACTACTGCGCCACGGGGATTGCAATAAAGTACTTCAAACTAGTAACCGAAGTATCCATTTATAATAGAGTTGTGATTCATGAAATTTGTTGAAGAGCAAAACAAGCGCATCCTTGGCTGGTGCAAGTACTTGCGCAAGTTATTTTGCATATTATGGTTAGAGTTTCACGAAAACAGTTACAGATTTCGGTTTTGAATGAGTGGAATACAAAGATAATATTTGAGGGACTGTAGTGCATTAGGCTACGTATTCTGTTCACAACAAAGGATCCAGGGTTCAGTCCCCAGAAGGGACAGAGACGGTTGGGCATGTTCCCTTTACTTTTATGCCTCTGTTCAGCAAGCAATAAAAAGTACCTGGCTTAGTACCTCAGTCCCCAGAAGGGACAGAGACGGTTGGGCATGTTTCCTTTACTTTTGTGCCTCTGTTAAGCAAGCAATGAATAAGTACCTGGCAATTATGCAACTGTTGTGGGTTGTGTCCTAGTTAAGGTCAATAGACGGCCTAAGAGTTACCTCAAGCCTAGTAGGCTTCTGTACCCGATTATGGAAAACATACCAATCCTAAAGTACCAAACACATCAAGTATTTAAAACTATAGAATTCGTCAGCAATGCAATCAAATTAACTTTCCATTTGCCACTGTATTTTGAACAGTCAGCAATACATAGTATTAGTGGCGCCCTAATTGAACAGCTAGAATTATAGAGTAAATATTTCACACCTAGCGGAACATCATATATTTGGATAAATATTTCCTTTCCGGCCAGGCCTCAATTTGTGCTTCTCAGCGTGGGCAAATGTTTCATTTTCATTTAAAATCAAATATAATAAGCTTCTTAACTCAAATCTGCGCAATAGAAGGCTATCCAATCTAAACTTAACCTGGAGACAAAACGGTCTTAAACAAATATATATTTTCTGAAAAATACCACTCATTACATGAGCACCGCCATTGTTAGCTGGAAGTCTGGCTGCAATCACTGGTGAAATCCAGCCCACGTACAGTAAATCGCCTTATAACATATGTTACAAAGCAAAATTATGTTAATATCGGTTGTTAGATTGTGTTCGCTTACGTAACGCAAAATACATTGAGTAAAGATGTATATATAGGCTACCTTTGGGAACTGGGGTGAATTTCATCTCCCTTCTGGTTATAGTGATATCTCAAGTTTTTGTCATTTTCAGAGGTCACCAGCTCTGGACAAGGTTTGTAGTTAATCCCAAACCTATATAAGACGCCGAGGTAACTGTAAATCACCTTACTGGTAAGAGAGGCATTGAGAAGCGTGGCTAAACAAGAATCCTGCAGCACGCACCGGTGTCAACAGACGGAAGCTGCAGAAGCGCCGGTCAAATGATCATCTAAGTTAATGTTATTTAATAATCAAAGAGTTCCACGAAATTCTCAAGTATAATTTGTTTTTAATATATATGAAGTAAGTGACATGCATGCATTAAGTGAAATAGACATTTTTCTCGTACAAGGCGCATGCATGGTAATGTTACCATTATTGTTTTTCTATTGTAACATTAAGAAGTGGAAAATCAGCGGAAAAAATATAATTCAGAGGTGCATAGTCATTAAGATAAATGTGGCAATAGATAAATAGCGGTGGATCGGCAGAGCTAGATATATATGTGAAAGTAGCAGGCAGTTTTTTTTAAGACGATCGTTTTGGCGGTAAAAACACTATATATAGAGGATTTTAGATGAAATCAAATGTATGGCGTGTGGACATAGACAGGAACACACTAGAACATTACATCTAACTGAAAAAATTAAGCCATTTACACATAAATCTAAACTCACGCTGCACGAAATGGTAAACCATCTGTATTACTTTGCACTCAAAGATTCGCTTCTAACTAAATGACATATAATATTAAGAAACATTCGATGTACTGTAGTGTGAAGACTATTAATAATAAACAGCAGCTTTTCCGTAATCCTGTAATACTACCATATGTAAGGTAAGGTAAGGTAAGGTAAGGTAAAAGGTAAGGTAAGGTAACTACCATATTGCCCGAAACTAATTGCGTAATAGTGGCTTTAGGCATTGTATGTACTAGCTCTATCTATATATCAATCCATTAATGTAACATCACTTGTATGTATGTACCTTACCTGAATAAACATATTTATATTTATTTATTTATTTATTTATTTATTTATGTAAAATAGTTATGTATTAGCGAAAAGACCTTATATCAATTATATAATTATAATGATTAATTGTAAATACATATATGGAAATAAAAAATCTATAACTAGCTGACATTATAATTATACGATGTGCAGGATAGATGTAATTGTTAATGTAATAATCTCCATTGAGGCCTAATAAAGACCTTTTGCGCTCTCTAAACCTTTTTTGCGCTACCGCTCACAGCATAATAAACTAGCCGCCTCTGGTGGCAACAATAAAAGATGAAAAGACAAACTAAGAAACATGTTACAGTATCAGCACTAAAATGAGCAGGAGCACTAGGATAAATGTGGCAGTAACAGCACTAAGAGGTAGAAAAGCAGAGCTAGAGATAAATGTGGTCCACTGGGTACTACTCTTTCAAGCCTGACAAAAAGATATCCAGAGACATTGCAGTAGCCATACACAGACTTAGACTTGGTTACAAGTGCTGCTGGGAGGTAATAAATCCAATAGTTAAAGAGTGTCGTGTCATATCTATGAAACAGAAGCAGAGGCGCCACTACTGCACTACTTACTGGAATATGAAGCTACTGAAGCCCTGCGCATCAAACTCAACATTAATCCAACGACAGTAGCTGCATTAAATGCACATTCCACAGTGACTATAA